CATGGTCTAAATCTGAGACAGTAAGTGTAATTATACATCTCTCATTTAAATCAGTCTTTCCTCCTGGGGACAAAGGCAAGCAGTCCCTGGCTTATTTTTCCCCGCCAGGATGAATAGTGCCTGACATGACTGTCTGCTTTAAGGCAGTAGCAGAGCACAGGGCGGGTAGGAGCAGAGCAGCTGGCATAGGCAGGGAGGCTATGTTTGGCCACCGCTTGACTTCAGTGAACAACAGAGCCAAAGCTGAGACAAGGGACGATTGTTCTCCAGGTTTCTGCCAAAATACTCCCTCACTAGTCTCTTGGAAGCTGGCTCAAGGCACACTTTGGACTCAGCAAAGCTTCCTTTGATTGTAAACATGTGTTCTCTAAAGTCTGGATTCTTTTGCAACTGTTTGAGAGAAAACATTTATAATAATCAGAGTATCTATTTCCTAGCTCAATCCCTAAGATATAAGAAAAGAGGAGATGTTATTGGGTAATCACCTCCCTTAGAAGGGAGAATGCAGGGGAAATTTGTTTGGGTTTTTTTGCATTGTTGTGGTTTGTTTTGGGTTTTTTTTGTTTTTTTTTTTAAATAAACTGTAGGTCACTCTTCCATCAGTATTATCAGGATGCTGAACATTCAAGCTCAGCTTTGTTCAGTGCTTTATTGAGTGCTGCAGTACAGGCAATGATCATATTTTTGAGATGGTCCAGTTTGCAAAATGTTTTTCCTCCATGATGACAACTCCCTTTGATATGATCTCATGTATTTTGAGTTCTGGATATGAACACCAGAGAGAGAAAGGGATTTTTACTATACTGTTGTGATGCTATTTGCCCTCAGGACTGGAGACCAGCTATCCAATTATTGTTGTTCACTGTCTTCAAAGGGCCAACATCTGTTTTCACTATCTGGGAATTTCAGTCTCTGAAGTCTTTTGAAAAAAACCCCACCCACATGGAAGCTAATGTCCACAGCCATGCTATTTTATGTCCAGAGTCAGAAAAATGTATCTGTCTGGTTATACAGCTAGGAGCTGGATAACAAGTGGTTGGTGTCATGAATAATGCAGAAAGTTGTTGAGAAAAAGAATCGGGGAACTGAGCAACTTCCTGCACGTGAAGAGCTCAGCATCTTGTTATGTTTAACAGGGATGGAACTTCAAAGCTATGATGCATTTTACTCTGCTCTTCACGTCAAAGATGGGGTGAGGACCAAGGGTTGAGAGTCAGTAGCTCAAGGACCTGTTAATGACAGATCATTAGAGATGAAAACAGCAATTAGAACTTTGTACACCCAAAAATACTTCAGAAGCTTTGCAGGACAAGAACATTTTATGTGATTACAGCATTTTACACGATTAGTACCTTATGCAATAAAAAACTTTCCATGCCCTAGAAAAATACCAGCTACTGCAATGAATAACTATTTATGCTCTGTCAGCAACCAACATGAGTTTTCCTGCAAGGCATCCTGTATGTCAGGCCTGACTCTGCTTGCATGCAGGTCAAGGAGAAGATCGTTTCTTCCACTTCACAGCATGACTTTTGTCTTTTGTTTTTGTAGCCAGAGAAAGTGGAAGTGTTGAACTGGAAACCATTTGCCGTGGCAGCTGAAGGAACTGACAACCCTGCTTTCAGCCACATTGAAATGGATGTTGCAAGCAATAAGAACAAAGTCAATGGCCTTCATATATGACATGGGGCCTTGTCAGCCCACAATGAGAGTTTTTTTCATGTAAAGCACTGTTGACATTCCTGTGATGGGTCAGTTACCAGCCCTGCTGGGGTCATGGGCAGGCATCTGCTGACCTTCGAAGCACTGTCACCCTTGCATGACCTTGACATTAGTCAAGAAAGGAATCAGGTCTTTCTTGCACTTCCTCGCTCTTTCTCTCACTCTGGATCTTGGTGACAGGGCTCAAGGCAATGTTTCTATGTGAAATATTTGCCTGATGTTCTTGAGCCTCCTGGAAAAATATCTGCTTTTAATCTCAGTTCACTCTCAGAATACATTTTTTTTTATTTGGGAAGAGCACTGTTCCCCCAGACATAGCCGTTTTTCTGGTTTGTGTTTTTTTTATTTTTTTCTTTTAAGGCATTGGAAGTATGAAGAGATTAGGGCTGTGGGATCTTATCAGTTTGCAAGAAACAGTGGGTCTTTTTTTAGTACAGGAGGTGTATTTAGTGCCATCTGGTTCCTTTGTAGAACTGATCCTGAGAGCATATTTATTTTGCTGTTTTAGATGTATGTGTTTGTTTTTATTAAGCTGCTTCTTTCTTGGTTACCTGCATCTCCTCCTTTGTGCTCACTGCTGGAAGCTACAAGAGTGTCTTTGGTGATAGGTGGAGGCAAGAATCAGTAATATCCTTCCCTTCATGCCCCATCTTCCCCTTGTGCCCTGTCTTGCCTTTACAGAACTGGTCCTCATGAAGGAAATGAGCTATTTGGGCTTTTTATTCAATGCTGTATAGCAGAACCACAATAGTCTTCTACTTCATGCCCAGCATGCTGGCCTAGAAACTGGGCATTCTGCAGCAGAGATGGTAAAGCAAGAAGAGGGCCCTCTTTGCTGTACTGAATGAGAGGGAAGGCTGCATCTGCAGTTGCCACTGCTGTTATCTGTGGAGCTCTGAGCTGAAAGCTCATGTAGCTATTTGTGTTCATGCAGTCCCTGTGGTCACTCTGGGGATTCAAATTCAAGGTTGATCCAGATCAGGTAAGAGCATGTCATGTGTTTTGGCAGGCAGGCAGAGGACACTGTGTGATCCCCCAGGACGGGGAAGGGATCACAGAGGATCTCATTTGGTGTAGGCTTCTCCAGGGCTGGAAAGCACGGGATGGCTTATCCTCTCGCTCAGCTGCCAAGAAAGGCTGAACAGCACATGCAGTCCAGACCATGCACTGTACTGGTGATTTGGGAGGGTAAAAATCCCCATTGCTTCCTTCTCCTGTGTGCTTTCTGGTACAGCAGAGAATAGGCTCTGACCTACTGTGTTGGTTTTGTACTGCAGACTTCTTCCTATGGCTATATATGGGTACTTAAAACTCCTCTACAGCAGCAGAATCAAGTTGAAAAATAAAAGCCATTGCAGGAAAGTTGAGCTGTGAAGCTTATAAAGCAGTCATGCTTGAGAATCAAATGAAAAACTGACTGTGTGTCTTAAATGCTTTATACAACTTGTGCTGCATTTTTACCAGGTGCTGAGCCGCTGTAAGTTGGAATGTGAGACAGTGCAAGTTTATCTACCTTGACTGGGGCCTTTTAGCATCTAAATGTGACAGAGGGCACTTGATGGTCTACTGCATAAGGTGAACTGACAGGATCAGAAAACATTAGGAAGAAAAAATGAGTTCCAAAGAATAGAACTCTGCTAGAGGAGTACAGGCCAGACAGACTCTATATGGGTTGCACTAGAGGCATGCCTTCATCGGCTAACCCAGTGTGAAACTACGAGATGGAGGCAGGTTTCCCCTTTGCCTCCTGTAGCACTGGTTTGCATGATCCAATGCAGAGTTTAGGGTCAGCCCCTTGTCTCGCACTCCTCTGCTGCCGCTCTGTGACCAGGTAAGTGCCTCAAAGCCACCATATGGAAGGGCTGTGAGTGAGCAGGATAGATCCTGTGAGTTATGTCTTGTGTCTCTATATCTAAGATCTGAGACAAAAACCACCATCCTGAATAAAGTCTGGGATTCAGGACAGGGGTCTCTGTCTGGGACTATCCTAGTCACTCTGAGGCGACTGGCTGAATGAGCTGGCTACGCTTCTCAAGGCTCAGAAGATAAGTGCAGCTCATTCAGCCTTGTGCCTTGTCTTCATGACACAGAAATAGATACTGCATTTTGTGCTCCACAGTAGTTCTTGAGCCTTGGAATATAATAATTTGTACTTACCAGGTGCTTTCAGCCCACAGATCTGAAACAGGGTAAGTAGTGGTATTTCCACACTGCTGCAGAGTGCTGAAACGAGGAGGACTGGTGTGTCTCTGTGTACCTGTGCTTTATGGCACAGAGTGAGCTGTGGACAGAGAGAACAGAAGCCTGTAGCAAGCCCTTGACCTGTTGCTTGCTGGTACAGCTGCAGCCCCCTCCCTACACAAATGCTGAACTCCCATCTGCATGTGCATCTCGGGAGGGTGGCTGGTCACTGCTGTGTTAGACAGCATCAGCGTGGCCTTTGTTGCACCACTCTGTGCTGAGATCACTGCACTGTAATTGATGCTGCCTTAAATAGTCTTGGATGATCTGTGACTTCTACCTGTTCTGTTTATGGAGTAAAGACTAATCTTCCCATTAATCATAGCTAAAAAATGTAGCACCACAGAGTTTTTTCTCGGTACTTTGAATTCACATAGTTGTTTAAAACAGAGAAATCGTGTAAATGACCAACTTATCTTCACTTACTGCTTGAAGTCACTATTTGAGCACTGAGCAGTCATTTAACTCTAATTTTGGTATGCAGTGAAAGTTTGGGCCAGGTGATATCTTTTGGCCCCCAGTCAGAACGTCATGATGAGTTTTCAGTGGGGAGAATATCTTGCTGTAAGCGGTTTAGAGACAAATATTCTTAAGCTTTGCAGATGACCTCTGCAGCTACCCTGTTTCTTGCTAACCTCCCATGATTGCCGCAGAGCTACAAAGTGACTTTTTCTGCTTTACTTTTTTTCTATATGCTTCTTGTTTTAAATGACATCACTAATTAAAGCAATTAATTAATTTTGAATAATATTTCTCTGGGATCATATACTGTCCTCTGCTAGTCGGACTCTCAGCCAGGGCCTTGTCTGTGTAAACGCAGCAGCAAGATAATTCTTGGCATTTCCATCGCACTCCTGCACCCTGAGCCTTCATCTCTCCCAGCTAAAAGCTCACCCGACAAAGACATGCAGGATGCTCAAAGCCAATTAATTCCATGGGAGTGGGAGTGCTCCATGCTGTCCAAATTACATGCAGCATCTGGCAGGGTCAAGAGACAAAACAAGTAAGAACATTAAAAAAACAACTAAAAACACAACAGGAACAATATTTGACTACGTGAATACACAAAGGATCCACAGAGAGAAAGTAGTGGCAGATTTTGGCCCTTTTTGGCCTGCCTTTAAATTTCCTTCCACCTGACTGGTCTGTTTGCTTGCTGAACATTAGGGTAAACAGAAAGTAACTCAAGAATGCCAAACAGCAAATATTTCATATGCATAATTTATTTTAAAGTTTATTGCGTCACATTATACAAGCATTAAACATGGCTTTATGTTGATGATTTTCTTTAAAGTGTGAAAACTTGACATTCTTCTCCATAGGATTTTTCTATTTACAAATAAACAATCTCTCTATATACTTTATTTATATATTATATATATGGTAAATAACATAACATCCCTCAGAAAGAGTTAAAATAAAAAAGAACTGATTTGTAAACACGGTTTCTGTTGTAGTATATGGTGGCTTGAACATAGATGATGATCTATACCTTGGATTTTTCTTTTGTCAAAGTATCCAGGTTGTTCATTTACATTTTTTGTTCTTAGATCTGTAAAACCAACATGGGACAGAATGCAAAAAACGTAGCAAACAGGCTGAAAAACAGTCCCAATATACAATTTTTTTTCCTTGGTTTTAAAAACTGGCGTGTAACTGCTCATGAAATACATGCTTGCTGTCAAGAGTGGTCTATGGAGATCAATCCTATGCTGATTGCAAGATGATTTCACAGTAAATCCTTGGATGTGTGCTGTCCTGCTTGCTATGTAAAATGTCTGTGGCATGCATTGAGGTTGCATTTTTTCTCATTCCCTTGAAGGTAGTGCTCTTGTGGAGCTGCAATAAGTAAACAACATATAGGACGGTTACCTGGAGGTTTAAACAGAACCCATTATAAGATCAGAAACAAGGGAATGGCATAAATTTGCTATCTAGAGACCATTAAAATTCCTTTTATTATTATTAGCCTATTACTAGTATCATATTTTCCTGACCAAGAAAATAAATAAAAAGGGGTCGTCTTTCCTGAGTGTTCTGCTATATAGCTCTGAAGGACTCACGGGAAATCTATTCAGCAGACCAGCAGCACAGAAACCTCGGTGGGTTGACTGGTCAACATTAAGCGACAGAAACATACTCAGGATCTGCCAGGTAGGTCAGAGCCCCTTTCAGTGTCATACTCAACACAAGCTTGGCAAGCAGCCAACTCATGCTCTCATTTAGAGCAGAACAGGACACAACTTCTAGTAATGTATTGTCATGAAAATTCGTCATAATATAGCTATGTTGAAAACTAGTCTCAAAAGCAATTATTATCTATTGTATTTCTGCTGCATTTTATTTGTTTTGGCACATTATATTGTGGTGGTTCCTCTGAAGGGGAAGTCAGTTTATATTCTACTAGGTTTCAGTTCAGTTCTCGGAAGTTATTGAGATCTACGTTGACGAAGCTGTATCTTACTGCAGGAGTTCGCAAAGATTCCCACTCATTCGGGTGACACTGATTTTATGCATGATTCATGTCTCGCTTTACTACTTAGCAAACAGTTTCTAAGCTCTTGTCATCTGGTGTTTTAGATATTAAACAGAGGGTATGCAAACTGATCCAATTGCTCATGTGAATTTGGTCTGAATGTGACTTTGCACAGCGATCCTGCCCGAGAGTCCCTGGACTGCAAGTGCAGTACACACCTATACGTGGTGGATGGTAAATACCA